GAAGTTTGTGAAAGCTTAGACTAACCGGGTAACACATCTTGGCAACACAACTTCATGTAGGGTGGAGAGTGCACACTCTGTGTTGAAGCGGTGGCTTCACACGTCGACCGGCGCGCTCGATACAATGTGGCAGAAGATTGATGCGGAGATCAAGTCCCAGATGACTGGAATAAGGTACATTCCTTATTTTTAACTGTATTAGATCGTTTCATATATATTATAATTCCGGGTATATTGTTTCATTTATAAAAATAAATATAATCTTTTGTAATATATTACCAGGACAACGCTTGAGTCTTCGTGACTTAGGAGGTATACGGGGTTTACGGGATTCCCTTTCGCGTGCTTGACACTGAGGGTCTCGCATTACTGTCTGGACATATTGAACTCTGAGCTGACGAGGATGCGAGAGTAGAGGTATGAAGTTTACGAGCGCTGCGGTTGTGTATTGCTTACCACTCATGGAATTCCTTGTGCCTGTACGCTTCGTACGGCATTTGATCCTGACCTTTCGGTTGAATTGAGTAATATCTACGAGTTCTTGAAGATACTAGAGATGTTACAACCATGTAATTTTAGGTTAATGTTTCATTTACAATTTTCTACTTTCTAATTCATTGTTAATTACAAATTAAAGTACATTATGTTGTTAAATTCATTGAATTTTTTTACCGTACACACTTGTAGGGACAGATCACCAGAGCCAGGATAACCAGAGGCAGGATAACCAGAGTGCATGGACAGATGTTGATGTATTTCGAACGTTTGTCCAAGAGGTTGAAGAGGGCGATCCTGCGACGATTCGCTACATGAATCACCTCATGTACGCTCAGCTTTACCCGGAGCAACAAGCTTATGCAGAGCCTGAGGTTAAGGAAAATACGCGAGGTCGTCCCAAGAAAACTGATTCAACTAAGCGTAAACTATCGCGCTGGGAGTACAGGGATAATTCGAGAGGTCGTCCGGTGGGCCGTACAAGCACTTTTTTGCACGGACCGACAAACACTTCTTCACGCGGAACGAAAAACACTTCTTCACGTGGACCCACAAGCAGCCAGTCTTCTCAACCGTCACAAGAGGCACCACAAGGTGACATATTTTTTTTATACAACTAGATGTTAATTAAAGTGTTAATATAAATTATATTATATAAATTGTGACGTGAAATTACTATTATGATGTTTCAGCTGGTATGTCGACAGATATATTTGGTTTTGAATTCCAGAATAGTATGGTATTTCGACCGATATATTTGGTTTTGAAAGCAGATGGTAACTGTGGCTTTCGGGTTATAGCGAGTTACATTTACGGGGACCAGGAGATGTGGCAACTCGTACGAGAGAACCTTGCCAATGAGATTTACAGCCACCGTGAGTTGTACGAGTATATCTATTTATGGGATATCAACCCCAACCACGTTCGAATAACGTGGGACGGGGGCCCTTGTGGCCAACATACTGGATGGATACTCCATTCGACCTCTTCCCTGTTGCAACTCTATTTAATACGACTGTCATTTTGTTATGCTCTGGTCCTGATGGTAAACAGTTCAACCAATAAAGTTGGACAATATTGCCACTCACTGTACCATCGACGGCTACACGACCACGACGTGAGATTGGGATCTGTCATCTTGGAGTATATGCACACTATATTCATGTAGATTTGACTCTTGATTGTCCAATACCGCCTATTCATCCTTTCTGGTTTAGGTACCGAACTAATTCTGTTCAAGGTTGGGAGGATCAGTACCAGCGTAGGTTGCAATTGTGGTATGAGGAACAAAATATTCCTTGATGAATAAAAGACGAATATTATTCGGTTGTCGTTATTATTTTTATTGTTATGGAATTGTGTGCAATGTCATAAATTTTGAACAATAAAAAAATAATCTAAAACAGGGGCTAAGGATTATTTTGATATAAAGTGCGCGAAAAACAGAGCTAAAACGAGTACAAACGAGGAAAAATAAAACAGAGTCTGTTAAACTCACGACTCGCGACATCATCTCGCGAGTCGTGATATTATCTCACGAGTCGCGAGAGTAAGTCGCGACTCACGAGTTGGACAGAGCCAAAAGTGCTAGGATCTCGTGACTCGCGACCTCATCTCGCGACTGTTCTCGCGATGCGCGATATGAGGTCGCGAGTCGCGAGATTTTTACACTGTCGGCTTTGTCCAACTCGCAACGCACGACTTCATTTTGCGACTCGCGGAGCCAAAAGTGCCAGAATCTCGCAACTCGCGACCTCATCTCGCTAGTCGCGAGAACAGTCGCGAGTCGCGACATTATGTCGCGAGTCGCGAGATTCTGGGCTGCACTGCGCCACACTACGTTTTGGGCTCGTCCGAACTCAGAATTGAGTTCTGTTTATTCCTATGCGTCGCTAACGAACCCCTCTATCCAATAATGTAGTAAATTTTCACTAAACTCTCGACATACAATCCCCACACGACTCGTGTGGAGTAGCCGAACCATATATTTTTTAGAATCATTTCACATTGATTATGTCAAACATCATTGTTATGGAATATTTGAGTTCAAATAATATAGTCTAAAAAACAAGGAAAAATACAAATCAACCTCATTAATGTTTTACAATAATAATAATAAAAAAACATTCATTACATAATTATTTTGACTTGGCATAATCCGCCTTAAATTTAGCCAATTCATCTGCGTACCGCTGCGCCAGCAGAGGATCATAACCTGTAAAATCCTGCAAGGATTGCGAGAAAAGGCTACAAACACGGTCCATCCACTACAAAAAAATGGAAGGAAAAAAAATTATGTTAAATATTTATAAAAAAAAAATAAAATTATTGTAATCAAATAACAACTACAATTTAGCATGAGACTTACATAGTCGTTGTTGGCACGCGTAGAGACCTCGTTCTGGTCCGGCAGATTCTCGCCCAAACATTTAGGATGGGAAACCAGACGGTACCACTACATGTACTCCGCAGTCGCCTCTGCTCGATCATCTGTGCTGACCTTATACATACTGAGGTTGACGGTATGCAATACCGGGAACTGGTTCCACATAGATACTGCAGTGACATCAGAATGCTCAACATTGTAGAGCCTCAACTCCTAAGGACGGCAGGCACTGATTGGCGTGAACATAGGGGGAGGGACTGTGTGGACATACCCCAACTACCGCAAAAACCGCACAGGAAAGTACGGCTCGACGATATCGCGGTACCGAATTAACAAGCAATAAATAGTCCTCGGCTCTATCTCATGTGGGATAGAGGTGTCGTATGGCAACCATTGCATCTGTTCACAATTGCATAAAAACATTTATAAAAATATTTATATTATTTTAAATAACGAGTAACTAAATTTAAATAAAATAACTTTACATACATCAGAGGCAGTGAGCATGTCAAGTCTCCAACGATGGCTATGAGACGCACGTCCTTCCTTCCTCTGACCCGCCGGTGGGCTCCACATCTGAGATCGTGTGGAGTCGTTAGGACCGAGGGGTAGACGTCCCCCCTGGGGTCGGAAATCGGGGAAATACTCATAAATCCAAGACTGCATAAGAGTCAAGCAGCCGGAAAGCTGTCTGGAGTCCCCTCTGCTGGCAATACCTAACTGTCGGTACAAATATGCCAGTGTAGCCGATCCCCACGAGTAACCCCCAATGGCATCCACGTCGTTAAGCACCTCAGTTAGGAGCTTGGGAGTCACTCTACTACCACTCTTGTCGCCGAAAAGGTGGTAGACAGTAGCAACCAAATTCAGGCACCAGCCTCATCCAACGCCAACTGGTTTGTACCCCTGAATTTCTCCACAACGGAGCCTTCTGCCACAGAACCGCGCTGTCAGAACGTCTCAACGAGGTCAGTCTTCTAACTGAAAATATATGCATGCAATAATCCTGGCAGGCCATTGTATCCGGCTCCTCAACGACCATGGATCCCTCAACAAGAATGTTCAAAATGGCCCGGAAATCGTGCAACATAATGCTCATTTCACCAAAAGGCATGTGAAATGAGTTAGTATCTAGCTGCCATCGGTCCACAAATGCAGTAAGCAGTGGAGTGTCCAAGTGGGCGTGCATGGAGTCTGCCAGATGTGATAGTCCAGTATCCTTGATCATATCAAGTGTCTCGGAAGACATATCACCTCGCCAATCTTTTAGATTACCAAATGCTTGCACTCTGTGATGGCATTTCAGTAAGCCGCGACACTCTCCATTCCACAAACGTGAGGCTACGTGCCCTAGAAAGCTAGGGATCACACTGTCATCCATGGGCCCACAGTCCACTGGACCTCTAACGATCCACTCTGCCTCACGATCAGTTCTAGATCGTTTGCTAGTACTTGCATTAGAATAGAACATAATGTCACTAATACATGGCTAAGGATCATTTTGATATAAAGTGCGCGAAAAACGGAGCTAAAACGAGTACAAACGAGAAAAAAAAAAAGCAGAGTCTGTTAAACTCGCGAGTCGCGACTTCATCTCACGAGTCGCGACTTCCGGCTCGCGAGTCGCGAGTTGGACAGAGCCGAAAGTGCCAGAAACTCGCGACCTCGACTCGCGACTCGCGACTGTACTCGCGACGCGCGAGATGAGGTCGCGAGTCGCGAGATTCTGGCACTTTTGGCTCTGTTAAATCGCGTCTCGCGCCTAAATCTCGCGCCTCGCGACATTGTCTCGCGAGTCGCGACTTTCGGCTCGTGACTCGCGAGTCTAACAGAGCCGAAATAGCTGAATTCGCGACTCGCGACTTCATCTCGCGAGTCACGACTGTACCAATATCTTGTTATAATTAAGTCGAAATATATAATGACAAACAACAATAAATACGTAAATTATTCACCTGAGAATCCAGTGCTAGCAAAATGCCCCCCAGCCTGTCGTGGAGGAGCAGGATGAACAGGCCGTGAAGGAGCCGCAGGCTGCACAGGAACCGTAGCCTGTGCAGGAATATCGTCATCGCCCTCATCATATGAAGATGCCGACTCATCATAATCCTCAGCCATCTGGGCTACCGACTCATCAACATAATATCCCTGCTGACCGTCCGATGCTGGTGCTGGTCAAGGGGTATCGAGCTGCCTGACTGGCCAGCAAAAACATATCTATGCTGACTGAGCTCGTACAGTGGTGGTGCACCATATCCCTGCTGACCAACTGGTACTGGTGGTGCACCATATCCCTGCTGATCAACCTATACTGGTGGTGTACCATATCCCCTCTGACCAGCTGGTAGAGATGTCTGGAGTCTCGAACTGCCTGCCTGGCCAGTCTGTATCCTCCGAGCCTCTTGGATAATGATTTCTCGATCCCGACGAGCGGACGCAGTTACACCCCGACGATTCGGGTGTCGGTGTCCAGATTCGTCAATATACTCATCGAACTCGTCGTCGTCCCTATCAGATTGTTCATGCCTAGCAATACCCTAAACCACCAATTTAAAATAAAAATTAGTAAATATAATTTTTTT